GCCCCACCTCCAGGATAATGCAGATGGTATGGGGCAGCGGGCAGGCGGGGGGGGGGTACATCCTCTTCAGCAGACCTCTCCCTCCCCCTAGTAAATTTGGTCGCAGATATTTCCATGCCCTCCCTACCCCCAGTGACCGGCAGGGGAAAAGGGTATCCAAGCGGTTCTGCTTCCAGTCTGGGGGTGGGGGACGACGTTTTTTTGGGGGGGGAGTCACGCTTGCAGAATGGACCCCCAGCCCCAGAGTTCCCCTCTAAGCTGCGGAGTCTTGTGAGCAAAAATTCTGCTTTGTGAGCCGCTGGCATTCGAGAGGTGAGCCAGCCATTTGGCCGCTGCTTCAGTCCATTTGCTCTGGAGTCCGTCCTTCCTGAGCGAAGGCAAAAACGTGTGAGCCGGAGGCTAAAAAAACTGAACCGGCCCACACTGACTCAGCTTAGAGGGAACACTGGCCGGCCCTAAGAGAGAATGCGGTTGGCGCCTTGCATATTTCAAAGTTGCTTTTTTAAACAAATAAACTTTAATTAGAAAAACAACAACAAACCTCTGCTTTCTCTCCCTCCCCCCTCCCCTTCCCGTTTTTCTTCCGTTTAGATCAGAGCAGAGAAACCCTTATTTTCTTCGAATCCCGAACTGGATAACTTGGTAAGCGTTTCCCTCTTTGACGTGATAGTTAGTTCGGTTGTTTTGCGGATAGGCCGTCCCTTCTCTCTCTCGCTCTCTCCTAACCAAACTTTCCAGAGAGGGAAAATGGGAGCTTTGTCTTTATTTATGTTTCAAACCGGAGTTCTGTGTAAACGGACAGGCAGAGATCCCAAGGAGATCTGGGACTCGCCTGGCTTCTCTCCGATGGCCCCCATTCGATCCGGAAGCGGCAGCTGGTATCCGGACACTTTTTGTGGCTTAGCGGGACAGGGAGGTGGTTTTTTTTTGGGGGGGGGGGGAGATTGAAATAAATGGACTTCTTTTTTTAAAGTTGTTATAATTTTTGTTTCGCTTAAAAAAAAAAGAGTTAAAGATCAGCCTGGCAAGTTTTTGAACTCCAGAGAGCCTACCCAATAAATCGCACTCTTTAAGAGCGGTGAAATTTGGGCCTCTTCCTTGGAACAGTGATCAGATATTTTTTTTTTTAAGGAAACAGAACACAGTTGGGAGAGCTCTTCTAGTTAAACAGCTTGCAGGGCTGTCTCTATAAGGTTTTGATATTGTTGCCATAAATAAAAAACTTTTTTTTTTTTTAAAAAAAGAAAGTATTATGGGGGGGGAGCGAAGGGACAGTCCTGCTAAGATACCCCCCCCCTTTAAGTGTGTTTGTGTGTGTGAGAGAGAGAGAGAGAGAGATGCTCATGTTGGTTGTTTTTTTTTTTTAATATCTTTTGCAGATGATTCAAGCCATACAAGTATTAAGGTTTCATCTGCTGGAATTAGAGAAGGTAATTCCCCCCCCTCCCCACTACTTTCTCTTTACTGCGTCTCCCTAGTTCCCCCCCTCTCCCTGTCCACCACATTTCATAAAGTTGAAGCTTCGGGAGAATTTGCATAAATGTCTTTCTTTCTGGTAATTAGTGTCAAGACCAATCAGGGCGTCCATTTCTCTTCGCAGTTTAATTACAATTTTCAGCCACTAAAAGGGAAAAAGAGAGAGAGAAAAAAATTGGAATCCCAAACGCCTGGCCTTGAATTGCCCCCCCCCCCAATACCTACCTTTATATAAGAAGAGGCCAAACTCTCTCCGCATCCCCCTCCCTGGGCCGCGGACTACTCCGGTTCCCCGGATGGTTATGTGGGTCAAGGTGGTTCCCTGAGTTTGAGTTAGTTTTGGAGGGCGCCCGCCCCTTTAGAGAAATCTATCTGCAGGGTCACCCGCAGGGCACGGACCCTTAGTGCGGTGCAGAAGCCAAGCCGAGTAGCCGCTCTAAAACTGGATACTCTCCCTCCACACACACACACACACACACACAAACCCCTAATCAGGGTTTTATGCCTTCCATGCCCCACCGTTATAATTCGAAGGATAATATTTAACCATGTTTAAGAACGCAGCTATAATTCGAGGAATAATATTGAAGAACGCGAGAATATTCTGAAACCGAGCCAGAAATGGGAAATCTTTCCAAAAAAGAGAAGAAAAGAAAAGGCCTATATGGAATTTTATAGATGTCAATGGCTTATTAGAGAATCGCCACTGGCCTCTTAGAGAATCGCCACTGGCCCCTAGAAAAGAAGCATCTAGGTTTATAAATACATCGGTGGTTGGGGGCGGGGAGAGGGAAACTCCAGGCAGCTTATCTCCGAGGAGCAAGTAGACTGATATTGGTGTCCGGCGGGGGTGGGGGGAGAGTTTAGGCCCATCCATCGCGGGGTACAAGTTTCGTTTCCAGCGCTTGGGAAATGTTCAGGTCAGCGCCGCGTGGGTTGCATTTCCAGCGCCGGCTTCCCCTCAAAGGGGAAATGTCCTTTTGTGTCTTCGGGAAAGAAGAGGATTCCAACCCCCCCCTTCCCGGCGATATAACCGGCGGAGCATTCAATAAGTTTCCCTTAAGTGTCACCCGTGCAAGTCACCCTACGCGCAGCACATTTAACCACGGGCGTTGAATATGTCGTAGGCCCCGGATCATCTTGTCAACGTCAATTTTCTGGGATATCTCTATTTCGTCCGGGTGGGGGGAGAAGAGAAAGTTATTCTTGATTCCGGGTGCGTCTGGAAGGGCATAATTGCCCACTCGTTTCCCCCGATGTAGAACTCCGGTTGTCAGCAGGGGGGGGGGGGGAGAGAAGAGAAGGGAAATTGATTTGTTCTTGTCAATTTCACTCCGCGCCGTCCTTTGATTATATAAACATATATCTATATTTTGGGTTTCTCTTTTGTGTGTCCCTCACTTTACCGTCATAACTGTAGGTACACGAACTATGTGACAATTTCTGCCACCGGTATATTAGCTGTTTGAAAGGGAAAATGCCTATCGATTTGGTGATAGACGACCGGGAAGGCGGATCCAAGTCGGATAGTGAAGATATAACCCGATCGGCCAATCTCACCGACCAGGTATGACGATTCTCCGTTTCTCCTTGTCTCTGACCAAGAGCCGCGTCCAAATCTGTATGCAGGCCGCCTCCGCCGGGGTCGCGTCGCCCCCTTTTTTATTATTTGCATACGATTAAGTCCCTTTTAGATAAATTTCCATCGAAATGAGAATTTTTTTTTCCTTCCCCCCCTTGAATAATGTGGCTATTACGGCTTCATTAAGGGGCCGCCGCTGGGTTCGACCTGGCGAAATGAGCTTGTAAAAAGCGGCGGCGGAGGGCCAACGTTGACCTGTTTCCTTGTCGCTTTTAATCTCTCGTCTTTTATTTTATTTACTCCTCTCTCTTTTTTGTTGTTGTTTTTAAAAAATTGATAATAGAAGCGTTTAGCTGTGAAAGGCAGGACTTCCGGGTGACAGCGAGTTGGGGGGGGGAGATTTGGGGCCGGGAGGGGGGGAAGAAAGAAGAATTAAAAGGGGGGGGAGAGATGAATCCGAGATAGGTGGTCCAGGAAAGGCAGGCAGGCAGGGTTTGAAATCTACCAAATGCGAGGCATTTTCCTCCTCTCTGTACGGTTCATTAGCCTGTCTTGTCAGTTTCCCTTCGCCGAACGCTTTTCTTAGACCAGAGCGCGCGTTGCTTTTTGTACGGAGCCGGCCCGCTGCGCCGGCCGGCGGGTTTTATTTGGCTTATTTTCGGGGGGAGGGGGGGAAGAATAAATAAGGAGGGGAGGGGGAAGAAATCGGCCCTGCATTAAAAAAAACCCCAAATAATATTTCAGTCCTTCCACTGGTGCCTCTCTTCTTGCTTACGGATTAGTGTTCACACGACGGGGTGTGATCTGGGTTTTGCATTCGAAACCCCATTCGGTTGGCGTGCCGGCGCACGCTGGGAGTGTGTGCCGTGTGAGTGTCGAGGGGGAGCGAATTATTGCCTGCCCGATTTACCCCCGGACCGCTGGCTTCCCTGGAATATATATATATTTGGTGTGTTTTAAGACCTTTTTTGGGGGGGAGAGGGGAGGTGTCCGATGTTTCTTCGGCCCCCACAGTTGGGTGTCGTCGTGTGTAAACATTAAACCCCCCCCCCCCAGCCCCCCGGATCGGCGTCGCTGCGAAAGCGGGAACTGGAGCAAACCGGCGGCGCGTTTTGTTCCCCCGAGGTGGCTTTGGCCGGGGAGCGATTCTCTGTTTCAAAGTTGTTTTCTGGCTCTCTCTGATCTGGTGGCGTTGAAGAGGGCTGGAGGGCCGGGGGACTGTTGTTAAGAAGCCAGGCGTAGCCAATTCTGGAGGGGGGGGGGAGAGAGAGAGAGAGAGAGAGAGAGAGAGAGAGAGAGAGAGAGAGAGAGAGAGAGAGATAGAGAGAGCGCGAGCACGGACAT